TCAGAACCTTCACACAGGGCTGGTGGGGATGGGAAACGGTGGAGCCACTGTGGAAGACAGTCTCAAAGTTCCTCCAAAGGTTGAACTTAGAGTGACCACAGGATCCAACCAATCTACTCTGAGGCTGTATTATTCTGATTCATAGTTTTGCTTTCCATATACAGTTACTGGGTCATAATTTGCACTCCAAAGTGGGCTACAGAAACTAGAATTTCTTCCCCAAGGGAAGTCATAGAAACTATATAGAAATCCTAACCTACCCTTGATAGGTAGCGGAACACAAGAGCCTTCTCGTTCCAGAGGGTATCTGGAGGAGTGCAGCCCAGAAACACCAACAAGAGAGCAGAACACACAGCGCTGGGGTCCCCACCCAGCCTACAACAATGCTGCCCGTGCACTAAGGCCTCCGGAAAACCCCAAGGACAGGCCACTGAGCACATGGACACTCCTGGAAGGTGATGCCCATGGAGGACCCGGAAGCTGCATGTCCTTTCTCCCAAACCTCAGCCCGTGCCTCTCTGGGCCCGGGAGCTGCTCCAGCCATTCATTAAGCCCAAGGAGGAGGTTGTGGCGTTTATTTCCTGTCCATCAAAAGCTCAGTTGAACCCCTGGGGCTCATGAGTGGCAGGAAGGGGAGGGGACAGTCTTGGAGCTGAGCCCTCAACCCGTGAGATCTGGTATCTCCAGGTAGATCAGAAGATGCCTGGCTGGTGTCATCTGCACCGAGTGTCGTGGTGAGAACAGAGGGGAAAATGGAGCTTTTTAATTTTCCCCCCACACAGGCGTATCTCCAAGATAAATGAAAACATGCCCACACAAATACTTTCACACAAATGTTCACAGCCCACGACTCAAAACAGTGAAAAAGCGCAAACAACCCAAATGCCTGTCAGCTAATGAGTGGACAGCCAAAACACGAACCTTCCACACAATGAAATGTTATTCTGCACTAAAAAGAAATGAAGTAGCCAGGTACAGTGGCACACGCCTCTGATCCCAGCAACTCAGGAGGCTGAGGCAGGAGGATAAGTTCGAAGCTAGCCTCAGCAACTTGAGAGACCTGACTCAAAATTTAAAAACTTTAAAAAGGGCTGGGGGTGTTTCTCAGTGGTTATGCACAGCTGGGTGTAATCCTCAGTACCAAAAAAACCCAGAAACCTAACTAGAGTAGGCAAATCCACAGAGGCTCAAGTAGACTGGAGATGTGGGGCTGGGGGAGGAGAGACTGCCAGCAGGTAGGAGGTTTCTTTCTGGGGTTCTGGAAATGTTCTAAACTTGATAGTGATGGCTGCACAATTCTGTGAATATACTAAAACCATAAAATGGTAGACTATAAATATGCGCATCACATGGTGAGTGAACCGTACCTCAATAAAGCTGTTATAACAAAGAGGAAGAGCAAGAGACTAGGGCAGCTGGTCCCCAGTGAGGTCCCAGCCTCTGGGAGCTGTCAGACATCCAGTCCTAGAATCAGAGACCCTGGAGTGGGCCCAGCTTAGCACGGGGCCCAGGGGCCTCTGAGGGCCACTGAGGGTGGAGACCCTGCATATGGGATGTAGTTCTCAGCCTTAGTTACAGCTGGGGAATTTGAAAACAAGACCTATGCTGGCCTCACAGCAGACCAACCAAACTGAACTCTCCTGGGATGGATCCCAGGCCTGGGTATGTTTTAAAGCTCCCAGGTTAACCTCCTGCGCAGGCAGGCAAGGCCCCCCGGCACTGGGGCATGTCTCAGGCTCCCCTCGCTTCAGCACCTTGAAGAATTGACCAAAATTTAGCTCGCTGACACCACCTGGTGGTTACACCAGAGAATGACTCCACCCTTGGCCTCTGACCCCTCCAGGGGCCCCGGGATGAGGCTGGGGATCCCCATCCTCCCACTGCAGAGGTCAGCACCACTCTGGAACTGGGAAGGGGGTGGGTGGCCTGGTGGGAAGGACCCACAACACTCCCTGCTCCACCCTGTGTGTCTCTCACAGTGGACATCCTGGGTGGCAGGGCTCAGAGGCCTGAGCCAGGGATATAGAGAAGGGGACTCTTGGCAGAGTTCAGCCAGCATGGGGCGGTATCTGTGGTATTTTGAAGCAGGACTAGGTATTACCCCCAACCCTCCCCACTTTTCTCTAGTACTAGGGATTGAACCCAGGGCCTAGCACATGCTAGGCAAGCACTCTACCCCTGAGCTGCATTTCTATTTTATTTTGAGACAGGGTCTCAAAATTACAATACAGGCATCCACCGCTGTGCCCAGTTTTAGCCACCCCCTTTGGACTCCCTGGGCCTCTAGCTGCAGAAACATCTGGAAGCCTGAGACCTTTGCCCTCTGCCAGTGAGTTCTTCAAGGAGCTCAGCCTCTTGACTCGGTGCTGCCACCTGGTGGCAGCATGAGAGACCAGGGCGAGTGGGACCCAAAAGTCACCCAACAGAAGCCCCGGGGTACAATTTAACCATAGGCTCTGGAGGAAACACATGTGTCTTACCAAAGTACACCAAGTCCACTCCAGAAGCTCCTTATCCACCTTCCCCTCCCCACACTGGCAGCCCCTGAAGTCTGCAGAACCCTCTCCCAGCTGACCTCTGATCTTATCTGACTCCCCATGCTGTGCCTGCCCCAGGACCCTGAGCAAAGTCTGGATCACTCTGCTCATGTGTCCCACCTGCAGGCTGAGGCCCGGGGCTGGCTTGAGGCTATGAGTGGAAGCTGTCCCTGAGAATCACAGACCAGCAGCACAGAACCCGAGCTGGCACCACCCACGGGAGCTCTCACCCCACCTCTGGTGGCCCCTCCCACCCGAGCACCCCACTGTCTCGGCAGCCAACCCAATTCCCAGGCCGGGGGAGCACAGAAGTGGGCAGGTCAGTGCACCCCACTGAGGCCTGAGGCTGCAATGCCCAAGTGACCCCTGGTCCTGTGATGGCAGGTGGGTGAGCCAAGTGTGCCCAAGCTGGGAGCATGGGGTCCAGAGGGCTGGACACAAGGGAAAACTTAGATAGGATGAAAATCCATATTTTTACATGAAATCCAAAACTGTTATAGAAACTTCATTTTTATAATTTAGTGAGTTGTTCAAAATTAATTTGTGGGGAGGGAAGGGACTGAAATGGAGTTGGATCAAATTCCATGCCTGAGTGATTCTGTCCAAGTGAACCCAACTACTCTGTGTAACGCTAATGCTCTAAGGAAAAATTCATTTTTAACTGAGCAGACCAAAGAAAGAGGCCAATGGGGGCCAGGCCCAGTTCCAGGGCAGCACAGACCGTGTCCTGGGGGAACTGGTGGGTAAATGCTGACCTGCTGGGCCCGACAACCACTCCCAGGCCCTGAGGACCCTGCCATCTACCCGACTCTGATCCAGGCACACGGGGGTCCCCATATCCACAGAATACAGAGTCCACGCGGGGCCCGGGTAGGTGCTCTGCCTGGCCTCATTCTCGATGGGCCCCGGGGCAAAGCGGTCAGGTGTTTTCCGTATCACCCCTGCACACGCCCCAGGGACAGGATCAGGGAGGTTGGGGGTTTCCCTTTCAGGGATCACCTCTGCTTCTGGAAGATGGAAACGTGACCAAGAGCAGAGGGCAAGCCTACCATACCGCCAGCCACCTCACACCCCATCAGCCACCATGGGGGCTGGGCACATCTGGAAGCACACCTGGGCAGGTGAGGCTCACCTGGCGGTAGGTGCAGATGATGATTTCCCGCAGGTGATAGTGCATGGGTGTCATGGTCTCGCTGACTGTGTCCAGCGCTGCATCCACCTCCTTCTTCATGTGGTGCCCATCAGGCAGCAGCTGCACCACGTCCATCACCACCTGGGCCCGGGGAGCGGGAGGAGCACACGAGAGACAGTGGGGTGGGGTCCCCAGGCTAGGCAGCTGGCTCAGCCCCCTCTGAACGGCCACCCCAGCCTGAGGCCAGGCCCTGGCTGCAGAGCCCTGCTGGCCCTCTCTCAGGCAGGGACTGACAAGGTGGGGTCCTGTGCCTCTCAGGCCAGGCTCCCAAAGTGTTGTGTTTTGACCTTTGGTTTCTGCTTAGGGGCTGTGCCCAGGGCCTCGGACCTGCCGGTCAAGCGCTCCACCACTGGGCCGCAATGCACGCAGCTCACGTTGCAATTTCTGCACAGTTCTTAACATGGGTACCGAGACTCTAAAAGGCCACGCACTGTGATCCTTTTTCAGCACCCCGACCCGAGGCAGGGGAAGGACCAGGGCAGTGGGGCCCACGCTGGGTCCCAGGCGCCTGATGGCGGTCTTCAACCTCACCCAGACGAGGACATGTCCAGTGACCC